TTTCCATGGCAGAAGATAGCAGCAGCGTCAGACGGCCAAACTTCTCCCAGGAGGAAAGTGATGTTGTGGTCCGGGAGGTCCAAGCTGGCAGTGTCCGAATATACGGAACTGCAAGCAGACCTCCACGGGCTGATGATGCAAAGGTAGCCTGGGAGGAGGTCACCACAACTGTAAATCAATGTTGCGTTTCTCTCGTGCGCGTGCGCGCTCTCTCTTTCTCTCTCACAGTCTCACTCTGTTTCTTTTCTTTAGACTTGACAGATGCTGAATATATACTCCCTATTTGATGCTGTGGCTGTTTGTGAGATGTGAACTCATTAGTTTGCAGCTGTGTTAATCAAATCAGGTTGGGTTTCCATTACGCGTGCCAAACGTGCCAAACGGTGCCAATCCCCTTTGATCTGACATCAGATGTGACGGGACAGTCGGTATAGAGATACATTTATGTGCTGATTGCAGATAGTTGCATTGAATAGTGTTTGTTGTGGGTATTTATTGCATCGTTAATGTGCCTGACATTCTGAAAACCTGCCTGTGAAGTTTTGGTGACGTGTGCGCACTGTCCGCCAGTCAGCCAAACTTCCACTACACCGGCTGCGCTCCGCCTGCGCTGACAGTAGACCTGGTTTCAGCTGGCGAGCTTTTAGCGCACCTTTGGCGAAGCCTTTTGGCACGAAACTGTCACTGCGCCAAGCTGGATCTGTCGACACCTCCCCCTGCTGCGCCACCACACCCATCTCAGCGCACCTCGGTCTGCCAAACTACCAAACTGAGCGCGCCTCGGGTTGCGCTGTTCGAAACTAGCTCTGCGCGGGGTTCGCCACCCTGCGCCACCCTGCACTGCGCCGGGAAACTAGAGCCCTTGGTGTTAAACTGGATGTCATTCATGATCTTAACAGGAGCAGTCTCTGTGCTGTGGTGTGGTCAAAATCCTGACTGTAAACACAACAAAACAGTTGTTTAGGACCAAGAAGGTAAAGACACTTACAGTATTTTGCAGTGTTTAGCTACATCTGTGGCAAAAGAACCTTTCTCCTATAGTTATTCTCTCCCTCTCTGCTCCATCTTTTCCTTTTTTTGTGACCGTCCATTTTGCTTGGCTACTTTTCTTAAATGATATTGGTAGGGTCATAGTTAGGCAGTTACTATGTGCGTTGCTTTCAGTCAGTCACATCTCACAGATTGACTGGTGTGGCTTCCTGATAACGTGAGCTCTGACTAAAGTGAGTGTAGCACCTGATTCATGGATTCTGAGAGGTCTGCCACTTTCTACTTTTACTCTACCACACTTAGGATGGAAGAATTGTAGTTTTTACCCCTATACAGTTATTGGATGACTTCAGATACTACTTTTCAAATTATGTATTATTCATTTTCTGTAACCACTTATCCTGTTGGGGGTCGTGGGGGTGCTGGAGCCTATCCCAGCTGACATTGGGAGAGAGGCAGGGTACACCCTGAACAGGTCGCCAGACTATCACCAGGTTGACAATTAGAAACAGACAACCATTCACGCTCACATTCACACCTATGGCTGAATTAGAGTCACCAGTTAACCTGCATGTTTTTGGACTGTGTGAGGAAGACGAAGTTCCCCAGAGAAAACCCACGCTGACACGGGGAGAGCATGCAAATTCCGCACAGAAGGGCTCCCCCATCCCAGGGTTCGAATCCCCCACCCCAGGTTCGAGCCAGGAACCCTTTTGCTGTGAGGCCACAGTGTTAACCATTGCACCACAGTGCCACCCGGAATATAGGCAAGGACAGCTGATTAGTTGATTAATTAGAAAATTATTTGGTAAGTAATTAGATAATTATTTAAGTCATTTTTGAGTGCAAAAACATTTCATGGTTCCAACTTCTCAAACATAAGGACTTGCCGCTTTTCCTTTTTATTATTTTAATTACTATTGATTTGTTAATTTAATTTACATTTTTCTGCATTGGTTATCTTTACTTTTAATACCTAAATACATTTTCCCAGTTGCACTAACAGACTTTTGCTTAAGTGAGATTTCAATGCAGGACTTTTAGTAGTAGAGTTTTGTTACAGTGTGGTAGTAGTACTGTTACTTCAGTAAAGGATCTTAATAGTTCCTCCACCACAGTTACTATTTGGGTTGAGAATATTGTGAGACAGATAACCACAAACCAGAGATGTCATAAATTAGCCTCCTTATGATTTAGTTGTTACAGCAAACTTCCTTTAATGTGTAATTAGAAAAAAAGGAGGAAAAGCGACAAAAATAACAGCTGAGCAATAAGCAAGCAAGAAGAGCGACCGACTGTGGCGAAGCAGAAAGTCAGCTTCCTCATCTCCAGCAGGGCTGAGGAGCGGGCTACAGAGGTCTGACTTCTCGCTTAGTCTACACCCACAGATTTTTTTTTTTTTTTACTTTTGAAACTTGTAGTTTTCAGCCCACACAGCTCCCTCTTGAGACACAAAGGCCTTATACAACTTTTTCCACACATGCAATAGTACTCCCCAACAACTGGAAGGACACGGTGATGTGTTAAATCAGTGGAGGTCCCCTTCAAGTATTGTACTTTAGCCTAAAAAAACAGTGTTTTACAGTTTGTGTGTAAAAACAAACAAAAAACATCAAATGGGATTCTGGTCATTTAACTTAATGTTGGATCAACAAGTAATTAATTTATGCCTTCCAGAAGACATGATAGTTACAAAAAGGATTCAGGAGAGCATTTTCTGATTTCCCAGCTTTATGGTTGAGGGAAAGGTTTTGGTCATAGTTAAAAAAAAAAAAAAAAACAATGTTTATTGTTAGTATGACCAGGACATGGACAGAATTGGGGTTGTTACTCAAAAAAGTAACTATTACATATTAAATATTATTTGTTAAGTTAGATATTTCATTATTAATCACTCAATAAAAAGTGATTTGCTACATTACTCATTACATTACGTTTGCGTTACTCCAAAACATGCAGAGATGCATTGTCACATATCAGCACACAACAAGGATCAATAGGCAATTAAGATGGCACTGGCAGTAGGCTGTAACTGCCTCAAGATAAAACTAAATCAACATATAAAACAATAATAATAAATGAGGCTGGCCCTTCTTTTACTATTATAAATATAATTGCCCCAACTAAAATAATATAAGACTGGCCTTTCTAACAGCATTAGATGATGATGGACTTCAAAGGAAAAAAAGTCTAAACAGCATATGAACGTCATGGAACAGGCCAAACACACTTGAACTAATTCACTTGAATTCACCAAACCATGGCCACTTTTATAGCAGACTAGACCAGCCTATTTTATGTGTTTATCACTAAAGCAGTGGATATACTTCATGAGGAGGAGATCCTGAAATCATTTGTCAGACCACCTGTTCCTCCTCAGAGTCACCACAGACTGCCCAGGCTAAAGAGCCTCTCCATGGTTACATTAGACAGTGTTGTCAGAGCGGTTGATGTTTTTTTGTTTTTGAAATTGAAAAACTTATGTAACACAAGTAATGACATGCACGGTTCCCACAGTCATGGAAAACCTGGAGAAGTCCTGGAATTTCACAATCTTATTTTCCAGACCTGAAAAAGGTGTGGAATTAGTAAAAATCATGGAAAGTATTGAAAAAGTCATTGAGTTTTGTTATGTGTAAAGAAGTAAATTGTTACAGTAATCTTGCCTGAATAACCTTACATGTAAAGGTTGCTGTTAAGTTTCACATAATAAACATTTTGAGTATACACTTCTGTTTGTGTTACATGTTGTGAATTGCCATCCAATTATAGCATGGGTCCTTGAAACGTCATGAAAAAGTTTGAAAATTTGTCCATGAAAATGTGTGGGAACCTTGGACATAATTGTTTGATTAGTGCCTTTAATGTGATAACTGAATTTAGAACAGTAAAGTGTAATATTACTACGTTGCAGACAAATATATTGTGACTACAGTAAGGCCTCTAACACTGGATATAAACTGCTGTCTTAAATGTCAAAGTCTGGCATTTCCAAGTCTCTAACCAGCCAACTAACAACTTGACACTACACCTACCTTTGTTTCTGACAAACAAGTCATTATTACAAGTCATCACACCTGCACAGACACCACAAACATGGTTGTTTTAAGTTTCTGAACAAATGACCAGTGTCATTTGTCTGGTAAAGACTGTATTTGTAGAATACCTCCAACAATTCTCTTCTGGAATTAGATTTGACTCTACCGCTGTGTCGGTATCCATGTTATTATTATATGCTACACAGCATTCTACTCAGTTGGATAAATCTGTTTCTAACTTATTTAAACAATTAAATAAGATAAATGGAGAATGTTTTCCAATTTGCTGAACACAGTCAAGATTTGTAATATGTGTGCATTTTGTGAATAACCAAATATTCAGCGTTAGTTTTATGTGAATGTTGAATGTTTTTAACGTGTGTTCATATTTATTAAATGCTGTGTATCTCAGGCTCTGCCAGGGGAGTTGGTTAACTCAGGGATAGTCTGCACTATACTGATCAGATTTGTTCCAGAGCATCACAAGACCTAACCTGGGAACCAGACAAATTAAGAGCTCATTTTTATTTGCTCTGGCAGATACACTAATTTGCATTTGTGATTTGGTCTGGAGATGTCAGATTACATATAACCGGAGTCTCACAGTCAAACTAAAAACCTTGTTAAACCTTGCTTAGGTCAGTAGCCTTTATATGAGAACAAAATAAGATCTCATAATCACAGTGAGGCGGGAGTTGGATCCAGATATTCTGTAAACAAGGGTACAACTAACTGAATGTCACTGCTGCACATGTGCAGTTTAAATTGCTTGCAATTAGTAAAGTTAGACTTGATCTTGTGTATCAACACCTTTAGAATTAGAAAATGTAATCTTATGGTTGCAATTGGAGTTTTTTTGTCGATCAGCTGGGTGCATTGTTTACAACATATACTGTATAGAAATGTAACTTAACTTTATCTCTTTCCCCTTCTTGTTGTCCTTCCCTCTTTCTCTCTCTCTTTTTTTTGTAGTTTCATCTTGCATCACCACCTATAAGAAAACACCTCCACCAGTGCCGCCCCGAACTTCCACCTGCTCCACAGCCTCCAAGCCCTACATCTCAATCACAGCCCAGAGCAGCACAGAGTCTGCCCAGGTACTGCACACAAATACACATATTTATTGTGTTAAAATTCACTTCATGTAGTAACACATGTAGAATACCAACACATCTATTTGGGAAATGATGTACATTATGGGTATAGATGAAGGTGTAGTGTAGTTCAGGTATGATATGACCATAGGAGACAAAAATAAAAAAAACAGTGAAAAGAGTTCTCCATCCACATGTTGGGAAGTATACAGTGGCTGCACTGACCACCATTGTCTACAACACTACCTCTGTTTATATTGCGACTTCCTCCGCTGTCATCTCGTTTGTTGCTGTGTGAAACTTTTGACTCTGCCCTTTAGTGCCATTTATTTGCTGCATCTATGCCAAAATAAAGGATGCATGGAAGTATGAGGACAGTCATGTTTACAGTGTTTGAAATGGACGTATTACTTTACTAATTTCATCATAGTTGTGGTGACAAATGCTTTGAGGATTACAGAATAGCAGATGGTAACAGACATATATGAGAGGTCATGGCCTCCTTTGTTTACAGCTTAATTCAAATATTATAAATGATACTATGTAATATAAGTGGTCATATTAACATATTGTCTTGAAAGCAATGTTCAATTAGTTTGATCTGGTTCTTAGTACAGGCTTAAGTGTTGTTTTTGTCATACCTTGACAGTTTCGACGACTGCGTCTGTCGTCATCATTAGAAGCGCCATGTGATGTTATAGTGACGTGTCCTGTTGATGTTTTATCCAGGTCGTCCACCTGAGTGGAATGACAACCACTTAAGCCTGTAATAAGAACCATATAAAGCTCAGTGTAAAAAAGTAGGCTATATGAATTTGTTTGGACTCGCAATGTTCAGTGTTGTCTAAAACCAATCAGGATGCATACATGGAAGAGGAGGGACCCAGAGGTGACATGACCATCCAATCAGGGCTCAGTAACTCAACAGAGAGCATTGACAGCATGAAGGCCCTGACAGCTGCCATAGAAGCTGCTAATGCACAGGTTAGTGCTTTGTACTTTGTACATTTTCATTGCTTTTGTGAATATTGTATTCAAAACATGTCTGCTGTCATTATTCCCATGTAGGTCCATGGACCCGCCAGTCAGCATGTCAGTAACAGCACCATGACAGTCAGCCCCCCCACTCCATCGGTCCTAAGCAGGGGGCAAGTTGTTGAAGACCACCGGGATATATACAGGAAAGAAGCACTCAGGAAGGGAAAATGTCTCTCCATAGGCATCCAGGTGTGTATGAGACAGCAGGGGAGGTGGAGAGACATAGAGGAGAGACATAGACAAATTAACACTGTTTTCACATCAGTTTAACAATGCTGTGCTTCTTATGATGTAACCAATGTTATTATTAGGGCCATGGCAGAAAACGATGCAAGGACCTGAATGAATCTGATAGAATTATTATTCTCTCTCAAAAAAGAATCACATTTTTTAAGAGCCAAAGGTGCTCGAAAACTCACAAAACTTTGCACACACACCAGAACTAGTTAAAAATGTGTAATTTTATGGGTCTTATGCTTGGGTGTCAAAGAAAAGGCTCAATAGGGCCCCCTACAAAACTTCAACAAAGAAGCCCCATGGTACATTTTACCTAGATGTACAAAATTGGTGTGCACATGTATCATGTCCAAATGTACAAAAAAGCCCTTGGAGCTATACCGTAAACCCAACAGGGAGTCAGCCATTTTTGTGCATTTTTAGTCATTTATAGGTGTCATACTTTAACAGACTTTTCCTACTGATTTAATCTGATTGACTTCAAATTTTGTCTGTACCAGCTAAAGACCTTTGACATGAAAAGTTGTTAAAAGCTTGAGTTTTTGTCAAACTGTGTGACCGTGGCGAGGCATCAAATTTACTTTTTTTGCCAAGAAACAAAGTGGTTGGTAACTTCACGGTACATAGCTACCCCATGAAGATTATGAATTTTTATTGAACGCAGTCGCCATGGCGACACATTATTCTCCATGAAACAGGAAGTTGTAACTTCAGTGTACATTAGCCAATCTGCTCCAAATTTCACATATTTGATAAGAGTCAAGGGCCTGAAGATATGAACATGTCAATCTGGTGTCATAATCACAGCACTGCCTACTGACAACAGGAAGTAAGTCTTGTCTGAGAATTTTTTTTCATTTACATTAAATTTACATGGTGTGGTCTACAGTTGATTTACAGCAACATGACGTACAATTAGTGTGTTCTTTAGGGCTAAATAGTGGACACAGGAAGTGGTACAACATGAGAAATTGGTCATTCCAGTGTCCAAACTCTATGCAAGAAAAAATATCTCATTACTGCGTGCAGTATCTGACTTTCACAGAAATAAACAGCTGTGTCAGCTAGCGTCTCACCAGTACCCCAGACTTGTGCAAAGGTGCAAGGGCCCATTCATCACTGTTTGCACATTTAATTTAGTTCTGTAATTGTAAGTGGTATTATAATGGGTAATTATAGGGATTTATCATGTCTGTCCCCTGTAGGTGGATGGCCCGGAGGAGATTCCGGACCCAGAGGACCCATCTAAGTTCACCTCTGTAGGGGTGCAAGTAGAGGATGACAGAGGGTGAGGCACACATTTTTCTTTACTCTTTATCTTTCCTTTTGTTGACCTTCTACTCAGTATATGCTTGACTATTTAATACCCATGAGCATGGCTGGACATTTGGTTTTAATGCAAGGGAAAAGACTTTAATCTATGAATATTGTCTTTCTTAAAACAATAGTCAGGTGCCACTGAAAAAGATTCTGCATACTGTAATCTTTCCCCCTGTTAATATTGGTCATTACAAGATGCCTTTCTAATATGTCTCCAGTGGAAGTGATGTGGGACAACATCCACAGGAATCCACAGGTGGTAGTAAGCTTTGTGATCTGGCTCTATCCAGTATGACAGATGAAAACAAACATTAGCCAAGATCCACTTCTCATCACTTATCCAACATATTTAAGTTTGATGTGTCATCATGTTAGCCTGCTCGTCCTGCTGCATGTTTTCCTTGTGTTTGTGTGCATTTCCTCCGACAGTGCAAAACTCTGAATTGATCGTAAGTAAGTTAATGTAGTGAATGATGTCAATATTTCTGCACTACACTGGTGACCAGTTCTAAGTGTGTCCCTGACCAATCCATGACTCTGGCATACCAGTAACAGTGATTAGAAATATGTAGGTATAGGATGGATGGATGGATAAATTGACTTAAAGCCATGAACACATTACCCATAAAACCATCATTTATACATCAATTACCCATTGTTGTATCCAACTCAGAATTATGTCAGTCAAATCAGATTGGGCTGTTCAATATGAATATGTGATGATTCTTTTTGTTTCATAAAGTTTTATAGTTTGAACAGGCTCAGTGGGATGTTCAGTGTGACAGTAACATTCACATAATATAGTAAACCAGCTAACTGCTCTAACCACGGGTTGGAAATGTGCAACAACATTTTTTGCTCACTAGATATCAAACAAAAGCCAGAGACTGTTTTGTATTAAGTTGCTGTGAGCTGTAAATTCACCACTTTTAAGCAGAAGAGAGAAGATAATGTTATCTTAGGGCCACGGTGCAGAGTCTCTCCTCCTCTGTTCCACTGCATTAGGTCCACAGCTGTCTGTACCAGATAGTAGCATGAAAGTCAAGAGCGCTCACTCGGCAGCAAAATCTGAGGACCAAATTGTTCCAAGAAGTACACTGCACAGAACACTGAGTAGCCAAAAAAAAAAAAAAAGTGTTTTAAATAGTAAGAATTTAGCAAAAATGCACGTGTGTTTAGGAAGTACTGAGCATATGTTTGGATAAATAAGACTTGGATTATACTGCACAAGTTATGTGAAATATTTTATATAGTTTTGCTGTCGTTAAATGTGGTCCCCTCTGACTTCATCTCATCAAGAATTGTCTCCACTTTTGAAAAACAAAGTTTTATGAATTGAACGCTGGGTGGGTAACTGATATACAAATGATAATTTTGTTGCTAAAGAATTCCTTTTAGTAGAGGGTACAAAATCCAAGACCTTAAATTGGATTTATACTCCTGTGTTGAGAGGCTAAGCTGTACCCACAGATTTATAATGAATTTTAAAATGTGTCTGGAGGGCTGAAGTGATGTAAATGACTGAAATCCAACTTTTAAGTATAAATCAAAACATACAATTATGAATCCAGCTTTAGACCACTCTAATCTCTAAATACCAAAACATCAGCTTTTTTGATGGCAATTGTCCTTTGTGTTTTTTGGGATAACATAAGCTTGAGTAGAGACTGGTAAAAAGTATAACTTGGCACACAGTTGTTGTATCCAAAGTACATGCATATGTATGAGGGGCCGTACAAGACATAATTCATTCTCACCCTCTCACACACATACATTCTCCTTACACATACATATATTTTCTCTCTCACACACATGCATATATTTTCTCTCTCACACATATGCATTCTCCTTACACATACATATATTTTCTCTCTCACATGCATATATTTTCTCTCTCACACACATACATTCTCCTTACACATACATATATTTTCTCTCTCACACACATACATTCTCCTTTCAAATACACATTTTTTCATTCTTCTTTTACATACATATATTTTCACTCTCACATATATATACACTTTACTTTTCAACACATAGGCTGCGGTCGGAAAGTCTTTTTTGCTTAGGAAGGTTCCTAGCTGAGTGAAATGACCCGGAAGTAGTTTAGTGGCCGCCATGATAAGAGCTGTTTGAATTCTCTAAACACTAAGGAAAGGAGGTTCAATGCTTCCTTTCAGATCTCCTTTAGCATAGGATACATCGGACCTTCCTAAGCGATAGGAAAGGAGATAATTCCATCCCACAAGTCATTGCAGTGGCAATATTTACGCACCATTCACAAACCCATTAGGAAAGAAAAAGATCAACATGACAGAGAAAGGAAGGAGATCACCATCTAAGTTACAGCTGTTTATGAAGCATTAAACATCTCATGCCATAACTTGTTCATATATATTTTTTCAACTTTCAACATTATGTTAAACTTAGATGCGAACTATGAACGTTTCGCTACTATTGGTGTAGGCTACCCTCTGTCCACAGCTTTGTTTAACTTGTTTTATAACAGGATAAACAAATATACAAATATACAATGCATCATTTTAATTTTCTGATTTTCGTGTGAATGAGAAAAAACGGAAATCCACGTGTTTTTCCCATTTTCGTCTTCAAATGGCTAATTGATATAGAAATTAAACCAAAACCAGAAACCTACTTGTTTTTTGCCTTTATTGTTATATCGATATTATCTGCTCCTACTGCATCTCAAAACATTGGCATCGGCTATGCTTATGGCCTAGATAGATAGATAGATAGATAGATAGATAGATAGATAGATAGATAGATAGATTCAAGAGTATTATCTAGACCTGCTCTATGTGTAAAGTGCCCTGAGATGACTTTTGTTGTGATTTGGCACTATATAAATAAAATTGAATCTAAAAAAATAGATAGATAATCAATGAAGTAACGTTGCTGTGCCTCGTGCGTAAATACGCATATACTTGGCATATCTAGAGATTTAAATAATCAATGAAGTTACTGCTTCCCACTTTTTATTCCCCTGTACAGTATTTCCCTACAGAGCTACAGTGGAAGGATCATAACAAAAAATACAAAAGACTGTAACGTTAAAAGATATCTGCCTGAGGTTATTAAATACCTGCAGCGAGCACCCCACCCCGCAGCATAAACAATAAGCGCGTTTCCCCATAAAGAGACGCTGTACGCATTTACGCACGAGGCACAGCCGTGTCCCTTTTATTATTAATATTATTATTATTTATTATTTATCTGTCTATCTATGCAGTAGGAGCACATACAGGGGCGTCGTTTCAGCAAAAGCTAAGGTATGGCAATATGACATGACGTCATAGAGCTACTGATGATGGAGTTTCAAAAATATGAACTTATATAAAACTTCATTTTGGTCTTTGACCTGTCAGAAGTACATACTATGCTATTGAAAACTGTTTCAAAGGACATGAAGCTGTTTCTCACATTCATAATACCTCATGTCTGCATATTATGCACGACTTGGTGAGAACAGTGAAAACATCGGACCTATTTCGGCGCATATTTCAGCACCACGGACAGCGAGCGGACGTTTAATTATCATTAGTCATGTGTTTAACTTCACAGAAAATAAAGAAAATAAATTAATTTCAAGCTCATTTTTAGAAGATAACCAAGGGTTCCGGTGTATGAAACACAGTAAAACAAAGGCCAATTTGGTACAATACTGTATAGGCGAATTCTGGAGTGTCTCCAGAGACCGAAAATACAAGCTTAACATGCCAACATGAAGAAAAAAACCCACATACAATCGTACAGGCTTCAAGACATCATTTAGACAGGCTGTCTACAGCAGCAGAGCAAAATGCTTTTACAATACATAGATACCGTATTTTTCCAAATAGCAGCCCAGGCGTTTATTTCACAAAATCGATTTTGACCCCAGGCATTTAAAAGAACCAGGGGCTATTTGCTCAAGGCTTTTTTTTTTTTTTTTTTTGCACTGACCTGTACCAGGCCGTTATTTGGTTACAGTTCCTGTCCAGTATGTTTTTAGTGCAAAAATACTGTATAATGTAGGGGTGAGTTCTTGTACAAAAATCTCTAAACATTTAGAGTGGGTCATTTTTTTTGTGTACACGGGTTTCACCGCTGGGTGGTGCTATTACATTATACCAGTAAAGCCCCAGTTATCCGAATACCAACCGAACGGGCCATTTAACCAACAGTTACAGGCCGCCACACCGAAATATCGCCATCCCGACGGTCCGCCATCCCGAATTCTGGTCCCTGAGTCCTGACAGTAAGCTATGGCGAGCCTGTAGAAGCTGTATTCCCCCATGTATGTCAGCGATTTTCACCGGGGACGCACGTGAGTAATTCAGGCTGACATTACCTGTTTTTCAGTGAACTCTTCTGGTAATTTCATTAAAAGGCATGGCATATAGGTCCACAGTAACTTATTATTACTATTATTATTGGGTCTTATAAGAGTGGGCTACAATGAGTACCGGGCCATCAAATCACAGCATCCGCGGTGAGAGGACACGCAATTGTGTGTGCTTTTACGCACGCAAGTGTAGGTGATCACGGATATTTGATGTGGGAAAGATGTAGCCAGATGTATTACCTGTTTTAGATACGTGGCTATCTGTCCGTCCATCCGTCCGTCCGTCCGTAGCACGAGTCATGTGCACCACTTCACCACCGACCCGTGCATAAAAGCGCAAACAGTCCCTGAAGGAGGGACAGCCATGAGGCAATGAATGAGGAAATAATCGCCCGGGCGTTTAATCAGACCGGCGTTTAATACGCAAAATGGGGTCAAACCCCCAGTGGCTATTAGCTGCCATACCTCGCCATACCTGAATGACGCCTATGGGCACCCGGCACATAATATTGATTTAACAATAAAGGCCAAACGCAAGTTAATTACTGGTAGTGGTCTAATTTCTACTCCAATTGCCCATTTGAAGAAGAAAATGGAAAAAGCACGTGAATTTCCATTAT